GTCTTGTGTTTTGGATTGAAAAGGGCCTACCATAAATGCTTTTCTATTTTCTGTACTAAAGTAACTTTGTGACTGAGAAACCAAGAGATGCTACTGCTTTGTGGTATCTCAGGTACCTCCAGGTTAGGCTCCTGATGACTTGGCTGGAAGGGTATTCTTCATTGGACTCAGTAGAAGGGGGTCTTGTAGGTCTGTGCTGTGATCTGCCTTGCTTACATCTGCTTGAGATAAGGCAAACACAGTGCTTCTCCCTTTCTAGGTGCCAGATTGCTCATAATAAGTGGTCTAGCAGCAGTTGCTCAGCCCTGAATGTCTTGACCTCATGGTTTTTAATCACTGTGACCCTTAATTTTAAAATATTATAGGCCAGTGTTGTCAAGGATTTTGGCTGTGAAGTGGTGGAGAGCTTCCCTCAATTCAGTAGGTCTTCCTGAGAAGACCCCACACTGGCTGAATTGCCACCACTGCCACAATGGTTTATGACCCCATTTTCCTTGTTTTGTATCAACACCCACACAGTTCCCAATGTTGGATATTACTGCGTGAATAAAGCAAGGATCAGTGCCTCTTGTGTACCTAGCACTTCCGGTGCTTTTGTGTGTATGTCATGTGTGTTTTGTGTACTTCTGTACTTAATGGGACTTGTTAGAGGGCATGGGACTTCACCTTACAGTGAAAGATTTATGAAACACTTAGGTTGGCAATTTCAACTCCCATTTTTTTGAACTTCGTGTTCAAAAGGAACTCTTGAGTGAACTGTAGATTGAAAATGGGTTGCTCTATGTCCCACATAGTTCTAGCAGCCTCTTAATACCTACTTGCCCATCATCAACTTTGACTTGCTAGGAAGTGGCAAAGTAAAGGTAGTTGAGGGTTTTTGATCAAGAGCCACAGTCTACCTGTGAGAAGACAATTCAACTTCTAGTTTTCAGTTGAATGTCTTAAGACAACGTGTTGAGGGCCAGGTCTGGTGCACACCTGTAACCTCCTCAGCACTAAATAGGCTCAGGCAGGGTTGCCTTGAGTTCAAACCAGTCTGGACTGCATAGTGAGACCTTGTCTCAAGAAAAAAAAAGGATCATCCGTAACTACAAATAAGCAAAAGATTCTGTGATAGGGACGAGTAGAGGAAAACAGGTTTTTATAACTGCCTGTATACTATGCTGATGTGTATTTTCTTCACATAAATATGTACTCAGTGCTGCACTTCACAAAATCCTATTTTAAGTCTTCACCCCCATCCACCTGGGGTACGCACTTGCCTCACTTTAGGTCCCTGCCCACTGTATGCAATACATTTTCCCCCTAGCTCACTATATAAGTATCAAGAGCACAGATTTTTATTGTGTATTCCATGCTGAGAGAGAAAAGCAGTGCCTAGAAAGTTGTAGGTGTCTTAAATACTTAAGTGAGCTTAAGAGTGGTAGAGGGCATGCAGACAGCCACTTTTCCCCTCGCCTGCCAGACTGAGCGTAAGTATTCTACAGGAAAAAGTCAGCTGGACAGCCTGGAAGGAGGATGTAAGGTGGTTGATTATTCGTGGCCCCTGCCCTGTACAGGGCTTCCCCATTCAGGTCCTTTACCTATGAAGCAGATTCACATTTGAACACAACACTGGATGTGGTAATACAAGTTTTGTACCATGTGATTTTTTTTTTTAACCTGAAAAGATGAAGTTAATTAAAGTACTAAGATTCCCACAACTCTACTACCAAATGGTGTTGAGACCATTTCCTAAAATAAATGCATCCTTTGTAACTTCAAGACTACATGAGTAGTCAAGTCAGTAACACAGCTATACCCTAGCCTTTTTATTTTTTGCAGAACTGGGTATTGAAATCAGGTCCTTGCACTTGCCAGGCAAGCACTTATTCTATTGAGCCATCTGCCCGGCCCCAACAAATATTCCATGGCTTTTTTTTTTCCCCTAGCCCTTTTGAAACTTTGGAGACCGTCTTGCTAAATTGCCGAGGCCTCTGTAGTTCTGCCTCAGCCTGTATAGTAGGATTACAACCCTTACTAATTCTTTTTTTTTTTTTTTTTTCTGAGCCGGGGATTGAACTCAGGCCCTTGCGCTTGCCAGGGAAGCGCTTATTCCACTGAGCCATCTCCCAGGCCTTTACTAATTCTTGATAATGAGTATGGCCTTGGAACAATCCAGAAGGCCAGCCCTCCTATCAGCCTATTTGCTCATCTATAAAATGGTTAATCTAGGCCTGTTCAATATAGAACTTTTCCTTCTGTGGAAGAGCTTATTTAGCAGGCTGGATTGTCATGGTTTAATTCTATGGTAAGCACTTAGACTAGCTGGTACTACTTATAGCCATTCCCTTTTCCCAACAGGTGGCATCAGTTGGCCCTTCCAAATTGTGATTTTTCACACTAAACTTTGGGAACTGTACAGTTATGTGACAAGCTGTTCCGGGAATGGCTGCCTATCTTGGTTAACCTAAAAAGCCTTGCTACCCTTGGCCATAGCAACAGCAGCATAGTCCCTGGAGTTTTGTTAATGGTGATGTTTGTGGGAGAAGTACAAACACATCTGTAGGGCCCCACTAACTGCATGCGTCCTGGTCTTTCAAACCTTCCTCAGATACTCAAAAAACCTTTTTTTTTTTTTTTTAAAAAAAAAAAAAAAAAGAATCACTGCTAGGGCTAGTGAGCTCAGCTCAGCAGACTAAGCGCCTGCTTAGGCAAGTTCAGGGACTGGTGTTTGATCCCCGGTACCACACGCTGCACCTGGCGTGGTGGTGCATGCCTGTAATCCCAGTGCTGGGAAGGCTGAAAACGAGGATCACTGAGTGCGAGCTGCACAGTGAGACCCTGTACCAAATACATGGGGGAAAAAATCACTCTATTTAAAGTTGGCTTATTTTATTTGAAGCCAGAGAAGACCCAACTGTTCTGAAGGATTAATGGCTATTTATGTGAACTGACAATATTTAATGGGTATCTTTAAAAGCTGTTCATCAGTTATAGATCTTCATGAACTTTTTTTTTTTCTTCATGAACTTTTAAATGTGCCAGAAGCCAAATCAAAGTGAAAATACCAAATGAAAATTAACCAAATCTAATTACACCATAAATGGCAACAGATGACAACTATTTTGGCTTCTGAGAATTAAGACTACCTACCTTTTTTATTAACCCAAAATGTACCACTGCATTATGATATGTCTCTTTATGGCTCAGAACCTGGGCCTTCTTTTTTTTTTTAAATTTTCATCAACTCATTATTTTTCACAGCAACCTTTGAAGTAGGTGCACTATTCTCCCATTTTACACATAAGGCAATGGGAGTCTTGGGGAAAGCAACCAGAACCCAAGTACATCACAGCAAGGTGTGGCACCAGAATGTACTTGCAGGCATTGGGGCACGGGAGTGCCCTTTACCACTCTGCAGGACTGTCTGATGTTCAAAAGTGCCTGATGCTGTTTAGGGCAGTTGGTGTTCTCCAGGAGCATAATTTAGTGGTAAAGATAATGTGGTAAGGACTGTGATAGAAGCAGCACATGGAAGGGCAGCTATGCTTCAGGCCAGGAAGGCTAGCCAGAGGGAGAAGACAGAAGCATTCGGAGTAGAGGGAACAACACGCAAAAAGGCTCATTTAAGACAGATGGCACAAGTCTTTGTACAAGTAGTTCCTTCTGGGCCAAGAGTAGAGGACAAATTTCACAAGTGTTAAGCCCTGGCTTCTACACCATGCTAATGTTCTGGATCTTACTCCATGGGTATCAAGGAACTCTGGCAGCAAAGGGCAAAGGCTGATGGGAAGTAATCAGCCTCATGTAAGAGGTTATTACAGAAGTCCAAGTATTTTATGAGAAAAGTCGAATATAAGGCAGTGGGATAAAAAAAGGTTAGAGCCAAGGCACCAAGGACAAAGTAACAGTGGAAGATGTTGACAATGGCAACAGGGTAGATTGTATGGTGATCTCTAAGACAAGGATTCATGAAAACCAAGCTGACCAAGACAGAGCTCAACTGAGTTCCCTGTGGACATCACTGCAGCTATCCAATTTGTATCTGATTATATATCCCCTTGGTCCCCATGAAGAATGTAGACAAAATTAGAAGCCCTGGGTTAGGTGATCAAGGGAGTATACACCATCAGAGACGATGGTGGAGCGGTACAGGCCCAACAGGGAGTCAAAAAAGAGAGTGCACAGAGGAGGAGAGCCAGGTGATGCTCACAGGAATCAACAGCACCATGGGCTGGGATGTGGCTCGGCACTGCAGTGCCTGCCGGGCAAGCATGAAAATGAGTTTGATTCCTAGAAGCAAAAAGGAAAAATCAGGAGCAATCCTGGCAGCACTTCTGATGGAAGTGCACTGTGCCTCCATTTCCAGGATCACACGAGCTTAAGACAAATTATTCAACCTAAATCTTAATTTCCTAATCTGTAACAGAGGGTGAATATATTCACCCCTAACACATTATCAGGGGTAAATAGTATGAAATCTGTGTAAGACTTCTGGCAGAGCTTCCAGGAAGTTCCCTCCCCCTTGTACTGTAAGGTGGCCTAAGACAGGACAGAAGGTAGAGGAAGCAGCAGATTCTACTGTTACTCCAGATGGGCACAGGCTTAGTAAGAAGCTGAGGACAGAAATTATAGTACAGCCTACTCCTGGATGGCAATGGTTCCCAATCCCTTGGCACTTCAGCCAGCAAGGAACACTCATGAGCACTAGCTAGCACATCTGACCCTCTCCGGCAGTCCTTCTGGCCATTTTTTTTTTTTTTTTAATCATTTGAGCTGAGGAAATTAAGACCCATTACAGATAAAAATTAGATTTCCTAGACCAGTGGTGGTGAACCTATGGCACCTGTGCTGCAGCAGGCTAGTTATCACTGAAAACTCTAAAAGGTCTACCATCACTGCTCTATAATGTTTCCTGGGCGGAAGAAGGTCAGAACAGAAGTGGTTCATCAGGGCAGCTCTGTGGTGGGCAGAAGGGCCAGGCTACCATCATGCAAAAAACACAAACCATCTCATCTCAGAGCAGACTAGATCCAATCTCTTTATTGTCAAGGTCCCCATCCTTTACCACCCACCCATCCAAACCTATAGAAAACCCCCAAGCCTAGGAATGTCCTGGGGAGGGGAGGCAGAGTGTGAGGAACCCCCTGTGCTCTGCCCTCTGGCCTGGACAGTGCAGACAGGGAGGGTGCATGGGGGGAAGGGTAGCCAATAACTCCACCTGCAGAAGACGAGGTACCAGCCTGGGATGCATGGGGAGGCCAGGAGTGCCTGTTGCCAGCTTTCCTCTGGTACCCGCTACAAGTTGGCATCCAGGGAGTGGGTGCCTGGTATGAGGCCTTGGACAGTGATGCCCTTCTCCTGCTGGTGGCCAATGCTCCTGTCAGGCTGAGAAACAAAAACAAAGAAGAGACTAAGACTCACAAAAAAGGACCGAGGGTAAGGAAGAGAGGGTGGAATGAGGTCTGTAGACAGATATGCCTGCACTATGGCTCTGGTCTTACAACGTTTTGGCTAGATAACTGTGGAGAATGTCCACCCCTTCATGTTCTTACCTGAGCCTGCCTTTGCTGACGGAGTACCTAAAAGCATGAGTAAGTCACGTATTCATAAGATATGCCTGGGAGCACTGGTATTCTGAGACCTTCTAGCAAGCCAAACATGAACCCAAGGGAATGGGTGAGAGAGTAGGCAGAGCTAAGTATGACCTGGCCTTCCTTTAGCTTAAAGAGCAAGGTGAGGGACAGTAACGAGAGAATGAGTGTTAAGGTTGCATACTACTTGGTTCAAATCTAAGCTCCACCCATCACCCCCCCGGGATCCTGTGAGATATATGGCATCTCCCTTCACCCTTCAGTGCCTCGGTTTCCATGTCTGTAATACTGGCACAACCCTTGCAGCATAGTTGGAGATGAAATCAAATGAAGGTGTAACTCCTGTCACACAGGGCATTTTCTCCCTACAACAGGATCAAGCCCAAGTCTGTAAGCCTTACACAGAAGACACTTCACTATCATCATCATCCTTTGATCACAATGTCTTTGCCCTACTGGGCAGAGCTGGACTACAGTACAGGAGGCTATTGGTCTCACCTCATTCCCAAGACTATAAGACCAGTGCCTCTGCTAAGGCTAACAATCCCTTGCTGTGAAATGCCACTCTCAATTGGAAGCAGGTTTGGCTGTACATCATTTCTTCCTTCACTTGAGCTTCCCTCTCATCTTCCTGCTCATATTGGATTGTAAGTTTATGTCTTTCTCTCCCAGACAAGAACCTCCTTAAAGGTGAAAACAGGCAACATGGCTCACAGTGTGCTGAGAACCCTTGCTGGGCAGGCCTAGCTATGCATGCTATCTGTGGTACCTGTCCCTTTACCTGTCTAGTTCCTGCCACACAGGGACATGACAAGATGGCTGGATGTGGAAGCACCTTCATTCTTATCTAGTGCAGCCTTACCAGGTCTACCTCAGGAAGAAAGCATACCCTGCACTTCACTGATTCCCTCCCTTTGCTCCCAAGACCACCATACCTGCTTACTGCAAGGCCCCATCCTCTGCATCTGTGTCCTGGCTGTGCTCCTGAGAAGGAGAGGACAAGCAGAAACCACACATCACTCCCTGCAAGCTGAGTTCTGCCCTGAGCCCTGTACGTGGAAAGGTCCTGGAACCCAGAGCATATCTGGAGGACCCAGTCTGAAAGGGGAAGGACAAGAGAAATGACTACGAATCAGCCAGTAAGGCTGACTTGAAATCCTGAGAAGGCAGTTGAAGGGCTGTCCAGCAGATAGAAGGGGCCAGACAGAGTTGTAAGTGATAGCACACTTCTGTGGACCAGAGCAGGCTAAAGGTCTTGGAGACTGCTAGGGTCCCTATCTTTGGAGCATCTATCTAAGTCTTGACTGGGGTCTTATGGAGACTACTAAACCCAAGAGAATAAGATAGAAATATCAGGCTAGATTCAAAGAAAGATAATCTGGACATGCAGAGGACTTCTTGACTGGCAAGGCCATATGGCCTTTCTGTCCACATGCTAGAGCCCAGCAGTGATAAAACGACGAAGTCCAGACACAAAGAAGTTGGGGCTCCAACTCTGATTTTATATTAACTATAAAGCTCTGATCAAGTTATCTGACTTTTCTAGGCCTTAGTTTTTCATGGGGTGAAACATGGGAATAATAATACTCTTGAATAGTACATGTCTGCTGCTAAGATTAACCAAGTTAGCAAGCATAGACACTGTTTTGCTGGTGCTCAGTGAATGCTCGTGAGGCATACAAGCTGCAAGTATACAGCAAATATCTTACAGACTTGGAGCCTAGTCCACCATCCCCCTCAATGTATGTGCCCCAGCCTCAGCCTGAACACCTGCAACAGACAGGAGCTCACTCCTTCACAACACAGCCTACAGATGCAGTGGCACATGCCTGTAATCCCAGCACTCAGGAGGCTGTGACAAAGACTGCTGCAAGTTCAAGGCCAGCCTGGGCTACCAAGTAGTTTAAAACGAGCCTGAACTACATACACAGCAACACCTTGTTTCAAGAAACAAAAGAAACAAACAGAAACCCCACACTTCCTCCCTACAACATTCCCCAGTCCTGCTCTCTGGAACTCTGCATATGGTGTGTTTCCCTGAAGCCTAATCCTCCCCCTTTCTAACCCATGGGGAGAACAGAAGCCAAAATGAGACCTGGGCATCACCCAGGTCTGCCATAGTTCTTATAGGGATTTCTGAGCGATTGTGTAATAGGCAACAATGTCCTGCTCACTTTCTCTCCACCCCACAGGACTAGAACGCCTGGAAAAGACAGCTCACAGGGAAGCCAACCAGTTTGCCCTCCTGCTGCTGGAGTGCGAAGTCCAGTCCCAGCCCCTCCCAGTCGCAAATGACCAGACCCTCACCAGCTCTTCCTCGCTATGCGTCAGCAGCCCCTCCTCATCACCATCATCTCGAGTCTGGGGTTCTTCCTGGGTGATGCCTGCCTCGGGTGTGTCT